CCTGGCCCGGGGGCGGGGCCTAGCGGCGCTGCTGGCTGTAGACGGGGAAGGCCAGCGTGACGTTGAGCGAGTCGTTGTGCTGCACCAGCGAGGCGTGCTGGTAGTGGAGCACCAGCTCCTTCAGGGAGCCGTACAGGTTGTAGGGCTCCGCAAAGCCGAACCCAGAACTGGTCTTGTTGATCACACAGTGCTTCACCTCCCCGTCCACCCTGAGGAGACAGAACCAGAACCGGGTCAGAACCAGAAAACAGACACTGGACAGAGCCCACATGAAAATAGAGGCACTTCATATACTACGACTTCGACACCGTAAACCAACTTAACTTATTTATTTTTATTTAATTTTTATACTTTATACATTTTTCTATGACTTCAACGTCATAAATAAGTTATCTTTATTTAATTCTTAAATTTAAATTTTTTTTCTATGAATGACTTCATAATCCAATTTAGCTTATTTATTTCTATTTAATTGTTATGTAACATATATTTTTTTAAACTTACTTAACTTATTTATTTTTTATATTTTATGTATTTTTCTATGACTTTGACACCATAAACCAACTTAGCTTATTTATTTTTATTTAACTATTATATTTAGTTTTTTTCTATGATTTAGACATACTAAACCGATTTAGCTTATTTATTTTTTAATATCTATATTTTTTTCTATTTTCCTGATATTTCTTTATTTAACTTTACCTACCTGAACTTTAAACTAACTTTTTTTAAAAAAATATTTCATATATATTTTTCTATTTTTCAGATTTTTTTATTTAACTTCACCTACCTGAACTTTAGACTAACTTACTTATGCATTTAGATTTTATTTTGGTATTTTATATACATATATTTCTATTTTTCGAATTTTTTAAATCTAACTTTTACTACGTGAACTTTAAACTAACTTAGCTTATTCATTTTTATATCTTATACATTTTTCTATGACTTTCTATGTTACTTTGGGTATTACGGGGCTTACACCACAGAGCAGGCGTAGCATCCGGACTTGCTGCTGTCCCGGACCAGGAAGGTCCCGTCCCTCTTCCCGCGCAGCAGCGCCTCGGCCTGCAGGCGGTTGATGTTCCCCAGACGCCACAGGCGCTCGTCGTGGTGCGGGAGGTCCTCCTCGTCCTCCACCGTGCTGTACTCACTGGGGGGGGGGGGGGGGGGGGTCAGTCACAGCCCGGGACCAGGACCAGACCCTGAACTGGGACTGGGACTGTAACTGGAGCCGGGACCAGTCCTGGCTACAGTTATAGTCCAGGTCCCAGTCCTGGTTGTGGTTCCATATCTGGGCCCAGGTCCGGGTCTGGAACCAGTAATGATCCCAGCCCCTGTCCTGGTTCAGTTCCAGTCCCAGTTCCAGTCCTGGTCCCGGTCCCAGTTCCAGTTCCAGTCCCGGTTCTGGTCCTGGTCCCGGTCCCAGTCCCAGTCCCAGTCCCAGTCCCCGTTCTGTTTCTGGTCCTGGTCCCGTCTCTGGTTCTGGTCCCAGTCCCGGTCCCAGTCCACGCTCTGGTCCCCGCCCCAGTTCCGGTCGCGGTTCAAGATCTGGTCCCGGGTCGAAGCCCGGGTCCGGTTCCGGTCCCAGTCCCGACTCCCAATCCCAGTCCCAATTCTGGACCCAGTTCCAGTCCTGGTTCCGATTGTGGTTCCAGTCCCGGTACCCCACGTTCTGGTCCCAGTCCCAGTCTCAGTTTCAGTCCCGTTCTGGTTCTGGACTTACTCCTCGGTGGTCTCGTTCTTGAGGCCCAGCCACTCGTTCAGCTTCCTCTGCCGGACGCCTTTCTGGGTCAGCCACCTGCAACACGAGCAGCACCGGTCAGAGGGCTAGTTCAGTTCTCCCTGTTCACTCAGGACGTAGCAGCTAACGTTAGCTAAAGCTAAGTTAGCTGGCTAGCTGAATGCTACATGCTAGCATAAAGGCTCAGCTCAGGATTCTGACTCTGGAATAATAAATAATAGTAGATGAAGTGCTGTTGGTTGCTAATGCAGATGTAGTTTTCTGTTTTTGTAAACACCTGTATGGCCTTTCACACGTTTTTTAATATACACAGTACTTGTACTTTCGATACTTAAGTAGCAATTTTTGAAATACTTCTACTTGAAATACTTAAGTACAAAACAAACTGTACTTCCGTACCTCCACTTAAGTATGGAGTTGAAAGAATACTTCTACTTTTTACTCAAGGTAATCTTTTTATATAATACTTGTACTTCTACTCCACTCCTCTACTCCAGTACTTTCTACATCTCCACCTACATCAGGTACTGGTCCCGGGTCTTGCGCAGCTGGATGAGGTCGGGCTTGATGCTGTTCATCTTCTTGTCGATCTCCCGGTAGTCGGCCGCCTGCTGCTTCAGGTCCACCTCCAGGTGCCGCTTGCTGTCCACGATCTCGCTGATCCGGGACTTCAGCTTGTCGTAGTTCTCCATGATCCTGCCAGGAGACGGACACCTCAGACCCCCGCACACAACCTGATCCTCCATCTTAGGCCGGACCAACCAGTCCGGACTCAGTCTGGACTCGGGTCTGGAGTCAGTCTGGACTCTGTTTGGAGTGAGTCTGGACTCTGGACTTGGCCTGGACTTAGTCTGGATTCAGTCTGGACTTTGTGTGGAGTCAGTCTGGACTTTGTCTGGAATCAGTCTGGACTTTGGACTGGGTCTGCACTTAGTCTGGAATCTGGACTTGGTCTAGACTCAGTCTGGAGTCGGTCTGGACTCTGGACTCAGTCTGGACTCTGAGGTTTTTTTAATATATTATTTATATGACATGGTCCTGTCATATTCTCCTTGAAAATACCTTTATTTATGTTTGTGTTTTCCCTTTTTTCTGCTGTAAAGTGTCAATTTCCCCACTGTGAGATCAACAGAGTGTTTTATTCTATAATAATAATAACAATAATAACAATAATATTAATATGAATCCGGATTTCTGAAATCTCCGGGTCGGTTTCCCTTCTGGACCAATGTTCTGATCATTTAACTTAACAAAAAACACAACAATAATAATGATATTAATATAAATCAAGCTTTGAAATCTCTGACTTGGTTTCCTTTACCCAGATGTTCAGTATCTGTCTTTGTTTTTACTCCAAATTCACCAGCTGGTGTTTTTTCTTTTTCTTTTCTATTCCTGCTGGCTCCGGCGCCATGGCAACCGGGCACCCCACCCATCCGCCTCCATCCCCGTTGCCAGGGCAACCCCCTACCTCTGGATCTCCTTGTCGTTGCCCTCCCGGCGAAACTTCTCGATGTACTCTTTGCTGAAGCGCTCCTGAGTCTGACACTGCTCCTC